CCCCCCCCCCCCCCCGCAATGATAATTCTTCTTGACAATGAATGAGACACCTACGGTAACTGATAGGATTTGTGTTAAGCTCAAGAATAATAGCACACAGCGCACTGCAAGGTAAACCAAAACACACTGCCATATTTTTATCATTTCAATCATTCAGTCCTTGAAACAGAAAGCTAATCTCTTACAAGCTCACTCACTTGCAAGGCAAGTCTCATCGGAATGTATACATGAAGCTCCACATTTTCACTTATATTCACTTAAAAATTGTGATGAGTTTTATGTTATGTTATAATCTGGCGAGCCCAATATAGCACGGCCGAGATCTATGCAGTTTCAGACAGTGAGCTTTACTTTTTGAAGACTGAGTTTTTTAAAACAGAGCTTCAAATAAAAAACACAAGCCAATGAGTCATATTACACCCTGTGATGAGCTTGTCATGCACCTAAGTAAGCTTTGCGGACCATTCAAACATTGTAAATGATAATTTGATGTTGCAATATCATTGTTATGTTGAATTAGGCTCTTTTCTTTTGTGTTGGAATTTCAGAGTTGGAAACTGAAAGAAACTAGAAGAATTTGGAAGAAACTGGAAGGAGTTGGAAAAAACTAGGAGTTGGAAAATGTTGGAAGAATTAAAGTGTTAAAATCACACAATTAAATGATCACCCAAATAAATACGGAGTATATAACAAAACTCTAATTTTGGATAAAAAAGACTTCACTCTTGTATGTGTTTGATGTGATATGTTATAAATTTGAATATATAATAAGATTGTATATCCATCATATATAAATACCTTTTAAAGTCATTGTTGTAAGAAACTGGAAGAAGTTGGAAGAAACTGGAAGGAGTTGGAAGTTAATTTTTCCAATTGAGCAGGGCCTTAGTTACATGTTAATGTTCTAATTATAATATTATTCATTATTCAAATTAAATTTTATAACTTCTCTACTTTGACCAGTTAAATAATACTCCGATAACAACAAAGATTCAGTAATAACTCTTCTAATGAGTCTAGTACATGTATATCATGACATGACCAATCATATTGAACTCGATTGTTGTCACTTTATCAGATAGAAAATCATAGCTGATGAGCACACTTCCACTCACTATACCAACACAAATATTCTTGAGATTCAAAAATAAAATATATTTATACTCCGTGATTTATAGGCTCGAGCTTGAGGGTATGAAATCATGTACACTAGATTTTGACATCATTGTGCATGTCCTCACCTATGGCCTCCTAATATTTAGGATAACAATAAAAGGTAACATATTTCATGATGAAAAGACGCAATAGATCAAATCAACAAAGTTAAAATGATAATATAACAAAACGACTTAGCCAAAATATGAATACAGACTTAAGAGTTGACGATTTCCTTTATTTTTCTAGGTTGGAGGATGGATCGAATCATTTGGAAAATTAAAGGAGGGAAAAAATGTGACATACTTGACATTTGCATCAGTTAAGGGTGGATCTCATTTTGTACCATCCTCATCTCCCTTAGAAGCCCTCACGCTATTCAAATATTTTCTAAAGGGATCTTCCTTATCGGTATCTAACTAAGTTATGTCTTGCGTGGAAATACACATTCACAAGATTGTGTCATGGTATCTATATTTAGAAAAAATGAGATAATAAACAAAGATTTTAGAATTTTCAACTTCCATGGAAGGCCAAAATAAGTTATAAACGAATCGAATATTGAATATTTTTATTTATAGTTGAAACATTTTATAATTGTTACGTTTGAATCTTACAATAGTTATTTAGTATTCATATTTTATTTGCGTATGAAGTGTTATTCTTGCTTCTTCCCACATTTTAAAACTGTCCAGGAATGTTCTCATTCTCTTATTCCACAAATTATTTTTTATGAAATGACTAAATTATCCTTTTCATTACTTTTCAAACCCACTCTCCTTGCTCCCCACAACCCTAATTTCTATCAACAATTTGTCATCTTCCTTTCATCCTAGTGTCCCGCCCTCGCCCTAGGCTTCTTCCTATAATTCTTTTTCATTCTCTACCTTTTACTTCTTCTTCCTTTAGATTTTCTAGATCACCGCCATCCATAGCACCCCAAGAGGCACAGTTAGAGCAGATTCCAAACAGCACGATACTCTTTAAACAAAGGCATATCGAACACCATGGGATATTCTTATTTCCCTTTCACCACCGCCATGACATTCTGACTTCAGATCTTGGCAAAATCTACTCTATGGCAGCCCCAGACATGCAGTAGCCGCACTCCAAAAGGGCAGCAATGGTGTCCCTGACGGGCAATATTCGAAATGACGGGTCAGACTTCCATTGCATAGTGTGCACGTCCCCTTGGTCATTGGTGCAACCTCTGTCTAGGTATTAGAGATATTATTTTCTTTTAGGGTTTTAGCCAACGGGGGGAAGTAATACATTAATACTCTGTATAGTGCCTAAAACGTTATAACTTATTACCCACCACTCCGTATATTTTATTTTTATTTCTTAACAGTTTGAGGTTAGTTTTAATTGATTACCTTTTTATTTCATTATTTTTTATGCTTTTAGTTGTGTTTCTCATTTTTGTTGTTTTTCAATATCATTTTTTTATTTTTCTCATGTAAGACTAATCATTAAAAAGTGAAGATAGAAAGTCATTTCAAACATGTAAGGAAAATTTCAAAAAATAATAAAAACAAATAAAAACAAAAAATTATCAAAAATAATCTCACCTTTCATTTTGTTGTGCAAAACATGCCATTAAATACCGGATAAAGGTTGAATTATTTTAAATAATTTTTCCTAAATTATTTAATGAGAGGTTGCGAACTAGTAAAATGACTTGTAAAATGAACAAGGTAACTAGAGACGATGAACGATTATTGCACAGAGGAGGCCACGAACCTGAGAAGCACCATGAGGCCATTCGACCAAAGGGAACCTTTTTCTCTTTTCTCTCCTTCTTTTGCTTTCATTATAAATTTATCATTATTTTTGGTATGAGTAAATAAATATCTTATATGGGCTTGGGATGAATCATTAGCTTAAGTGTTGTATGCTTTATTTAGGTGAAGTTTCTATTTCGATTTCTTCTATTGCTTGAATATAATTGATTTGTGCTCTTATTTGAAGAATTTATGGTTTTTACTTTGAATTTGTGAGCCTCCTTAAATCTAATGGAAGAACAGATTATGCCATGCTTGGGCAAATTTATGTCTATGAAGAACAGTTCGTGCCACATAAATCCTCTTTTCCCTGTTGGATAGATTTGTCTCAACTCTCAACTACAAAAGATTTGGATTCCATGTCCTCAAATCATTAACCCCTAGATTATTAAAACCACTGCATTTATGTCCTCAATTGCATCTACTGCACAAGCATTTCTGAGTTTATATTCAAAACACTGCAAAAACTCCCAATTTTGTGTTTGAATTAAATGTGTCCATGAGTTTATTTACTTCATTTTTACTTTCAAATCAACATGTTGTTTTGTTTTTACAGGTCGATATTGTTGCAAACATTGTTTGGACCTTTGTAATCTTAGATTGCGTAAATTTTCATTAGTGGATGTAATTTTGTCACATGTAATGTAATGACTTTGTGTATCAACTCCGGTTTCAAGCACATGTACTACTAGGTAGTTCAAATTGAACTCTACAAATAGATGGTTCTACAAAATTGTTCCTTTGATATCAATGTTGTACATACTTATCCTTTTATATACTTGGTGTGATATCTAAAGTATTGGAATAAATAAATCCATTCAAGCATTAAGAATTTAGTGTTAAACGTGCAATGAACTGAAAAAATCAAAAAAGAAACCAAGGAAGTATACGCTATACACGTAACAGTGTGTAATCAACTAAAATATTTCTACACACGTAAACACTTTGTATAAACATTTTAAGATACGATTTGATGGATATATTAGGCCTAGAGATAAATATCCATGCAGATTGGGCCCAAAGACGTGGGTAGCCCGTGAGCTATATAGGCAGGTCAACCCGCCTAGGCCGTGAGGCATGTCCCAATGGGTTGAAGCTGTGTCTTGCTAGGCTTAATTATGAGGAATTTACTTAAATAACACTAAAATGACTTTCTCTAAATACCATCATATATGTTTTTTCCCAATGTAGCACTTTTAGTCATTATCCATTAGTCCATCACTGAACATTATTAAGTGCTATTTAGGGGATAAAATAGGTTAAGTGCTATTTAGGGGATAAAACAGGTTAAGTGCTATTTAGGGAAATGACTTAAGTTTTAGTGTTATTTAGTGCAAATATTTCTTTATTTATTTGGGGAGAGGTATGGCCCAATGGAATCCCATGAATTGAGGATCACGATTAGTAAGATTGAGAGGCTATAAATACCCCCAGAACATAAGATGATAAGAATAGAGGTGGTCTTTTCTAATATTCTTGAGTTCCATAGTTTCTATAATATTTTGTATTCCATAATTCATGAGGGGAACTCGTGAGATTATTATTAATATAACAACGTCATGATTTCGCACTATATAAAGGAACCCACAAATCAAAATTTACAAATTTCTATAAATAAATCAAAATTAACAATTTTAAATCAACAATTGCAAAAAAAAATTATAGTACCTTGCAGTCGTGGGTCATTGACTCTACTCAGACATTCAGCGGTCGGAAGAACGACGTCTGGCAAGGGACTCTAAGACGCTGCGGCGTACGTATGTACAGGGGGGGCCTAGAAGAGGCGCAAGAGGGAGGACGGCAGGCCGGAGGACGACGGGGGTGATGGAGGTCGCCGCGACTTGCGCCTTCTCTCTGCTGTTTGCGTCGGATGGAAGAAAAAGTATAGGTAGGGGCAGGGCTAGGTCAAACGTACGACTAAGAGCGGTGTTGAAACCCTGGCTTCAAACTGTTAGGGTCCGTTTGGTATACGGAATTGGTGGAATTGGAATTGAATTGGAATTGAAATTCCATGGGATTCAATTCCATAGAATTGAATTCTGTCAATTTCAATTCATTTTTTGCACAATCAATTCCAAATCCACATAATTTTTGTGCTACCAAACACCAAAATTGGAATTGAAGTCCCCAATTCCAATTCCATATTTTGAATTCCATGTACCAAACGGGACCTTAGGGTCCGTTTGGTACACGGAATTGATAGAATTGGAATTGAATTTGAATTAAAATTTCATGGGATTCAATTCCATAGAATTAATTTCACCAATTCCAATTCATTTTTTGTACTACCAATTCCAAATCCACATAATTTTTGTGGTACCAAACACGAGAATTGGAGTTGAAGTCTTCAATTCCAATTCCATAGTTTGAATTCCGTGTACCAAACGGGGCCTTACTTCAAACCTCTATTTTTTATATTTTTAAATATACATCTTCTAAAATTAAATTAATAACATTTTATCAATTAATTAAATTTAAATGAAAATAAATTATTAAATAAAAAAATCAATAAAAGGTAAATTAACCAAATAAGATTTGAGTAATGAAAACAAAAATATGAAAAATTATATTACTTTATGAAGAAATTACTGATTATTCGAGCGACTAAAAATATCTTCATTCAAATCGGAGTTGTAGTAACATATTGCAAACTGAAATAATACATTAATTAAAAAATACAGTCAATAAAAAAGTATGTTAAATTTAAAAAACAACAAAAAAAATTACATTACGAAAGAAAATTTAAACAAAAAAATATTACATTAAACAATAAAATATAGAGTAAAAAAATTATGTTTGTGTTTGTTCTATTTTTTTTAAGAGAAAGAATATAAAGAGTAAAAAAAATATTTAGTTTTATGGCATTTATGTAATTTTTTGTTGTTTTTTAATGAATGAAGCCCGTAAAACATTTGAATCATAAAGGATGAAGCCCCTTTGAAGCCCCGGGGGGGCGGTGTTTGTTGCCCCTTTGGCGTTAAAAGGGGCAATAACGCCCCGGGCATTATGTCCATTACCAGTGCTCTAAGAGGCAGTTCTTTAGTGCTTGCTCTTTTTTAAAGTTTGTTCCAGTCTTTTCGAGTTTCCCCCCAGAACCTTCCAGTTTTTTTCCGTTCTTTCTAGTTTCTTCTAATTTCTTTCAGTTCCTTCCAGTTTCTTCCAACTGTTCTCATTTTCTTCAAATTATTTTTACTCCTCAACCAATTACTCTAAAAATAATATATTTCAATGTAATTATTATTATTATTATTATTATTATTATTACAACTGTTATATTCATAACTTTAGTTTATAAATTACTTTTTTCATCTCACTATTTTTACGATTCACACTTATTATTTTTTTCTTCAACTTTTTAATATGAATAAGACATTTTTTTATATATTAGTTTACATGATAAAACAGGAAAGCATCAATATATTAAATTATACGGAGTACTAAACAATTATGGATAAAATAGTTACATTGAATGTTTTATTAATATAATTTTTTATAAGACATCTCAGTTTTCCATTTATTACTTAAAAATTGCTCAGTTTTCTAATTTTTATTAAAAAAAAGTTGTAAGTCAAAAGAACTTAGAGAAAAAAAAGACTAAAATATGAGTAAAACATAAAAAATGTAAACAAAAAAGTTCCATGTCTTTATTCCAAAAATAGGAATTCAATGAAAATAATATGTCAATCATGAAAGAAACAATAGGTTTGATTATGTGACAATGTGACATGTATGATAATTACAAATATATTATTTATAATAAATACTGCATAATTAGATTGAGGTCCAGTATAACTACACAGCCTTTTTAAAATTTAATATTTTTATATTTATGCTAATTTTATATTAGAATTATTTTTTGTAAAAGTAGTTTTTTCTATTTAAAAAATAACAATACTTTTTTTATGTCTTAAAAACATTCACTAAGATAACATGATGATGATGATTATTATGTTGATGATGATAATGAGAGCACTAGAAATACGTTTGAAGTTCCGGGACTTCAAACTTTTTCTCTCTGCCACGTCAGCTTTAACTTACACCCAAAATTCACTGGAAATGGGTTTAAAGCCCCGGGGCTTCAAACTGGGGCTTCAAACCTTCATTTTTTATATTTTTAAATATACATTTTCTAAAATTAAATTAATAAAATGTAATTAATTTATTATTTAATTATATTGAAACACGAATAATAAAAAAATACATTCATTAAATTTATAGAAATTGAAACGAAAATAATTTAAAATATAAAAAATTACATTCGTTAAATTAAAAAAAGCGACAAATTAACTTTAGACGACAATAATTCATTAAATGAAAATAATTAACTTCAATAAAAAAAAGAACATTTAATTAAAAAATTAAAACAAATTATATTTAGTTTTGATCTCGTTATGTCTGCTCTCGAAAGAAAATTATATTCGTTTGGTCGTTTGACTCGAGACCGAACAAAGGAACATCAAAAATGAAGAGATTCATGTTAAAAAGTTGAATATTTTTTTTAATCTGAAGAAGATAGAGGAAAATATTTTGTGGTTGTTTAATTTAAAAAAGAAATTAAAGAAGAAAGATTTTGTTTGTGAGTTTTATTTTTAAAAAAAAATTGAAGAAGAAAATATTGTGGGTGTTTAGATGAAGAGTTTTTTAAAAAAAAATTGAAGAAAATAAGGCAAAACGCTCGTTATAAGTTTAACCCAATGCATATAACGCTCGGATGAAGCCCGGGGGGCGGTGTTTAACGCCCCTGGGGCGTTAAAAATGCAATAACACCATTGGGCGTTACATGCATACCCTGTGGCCTGCTGATGATAATGATAATGATAATGATGATGATGATGATGATTGTAACGCCCCAAAATATACCCTAAAATTTTTTGAATTAAATATTCAATTAAATAAAATTTGTTTTGATTAAAATAAATTATTGTTAGGCTTTGGTCCAAAATAAAATATGTTCTGATATCCAATATCATAATTCAGATAAATCTTATAGAGATAAATTCAACCTGATTGACTTATTGTGTGACCTTGATTGAGAACCAAAGTAAAGACCCAAAACAGGGATAAATGAAGATATTGTTGTGATAAGAACTTTGAAATAAATTTTTGAAATAAACCATAAGAATAAATTAAGTGTGAGAACCTTTTATGATAAAAGTCAATTAAACAAATTTTGACTCTATTAAAGTCAAACACCCAAGAATATGATGTCAGAAAAAGTATTACAAATAATTATGAAAATTATATCATTGGATAGAGTTTAGCTGTCTGATCGCAACGGTGCAAACGAAATTAAATTCGGAGAAAGTTGGACCAAAAAGTGTACCTTGACTGGGACCAAAATTAGTCTTAATCAGGGAGTGGCGTGTGAATCTCGCAGAAGGTGATTTCCGCCGTTTGAAGATCGGCTAGTTGATTCCTGACTCAGCACATTACGTCTTCTTCTCCATCACCTTCTTATATAAGCAATGCTCAACCATTCCATTTCTTCACCAAATCAGCTTATTCTTCTTCCTATTCTGTTTCTAAGAGTGTGAGAAGTATTGTGGTGCTGCCAATTTTGTGTGAAGTCGTCGGAGCTGAGAGTAATCATCGCCGGAAGTTTCGCCGGAAAATCTTCAAAACCTCCCTTACGCTTCGAGGTAAGCCCGTAGATATATCTAGTGACTAGAATGTTCGTATAGATCGTTTCTACGTTTATAAACGGTCATTTGGTTGAGTTTTGTGTTTGACATGCTTGAAGAACCAAGAATCATAAACCATAAATTTGATGTTTAAACTATGAATTAATGATACCAAAATGACCTATGAACTTTGGAGAACATTTCTATATAGTTTAATTGAAGTTCGGAAACTATAAATGGAATTTTCGAAATTGGAGTCGCGAGGTAGAAGACGATGAACAGTGGCTGAAAAGCCACTGTCTGGATCAATCATATGCCATGGATCGATCCTCTGGGAGTAGTTTTCCATGGTATGGATCGATCCAGAGGGTTGGATCGATCCCCCGAAGTTCTGATCCGAAAATTTGCCTGAAATTGCTATTTTTGAGCTCTAAAATCCTATTTTTGATACCAATTGATTATGATTATTTTAAGGATGATTCTTTGCAATAAAAATGATGTTTTTAAGAAATAAAAATGTTATGTGATGCATGACGGTAAGTTCAGGTGTTAATATTCGAAACTAGACCGCTATTTGTTATTAATTGTTATGTTGATTGATGATTATGATGAATGATTATTAACTATGATTATGAATGATGAACTTACTAATTAAAATGATTATTGATGATTTAACCATTATTAAAATGAATATATTGATAATTATGAAACAATTTGTATTGTTAACGGTATATAGAATAACTCTTAGATATACCATTAGTTAATTGATGTTAAGGCTATCTAGAAGATCTCTAGAATAGATCTTGTATTAGAATAGACTTATGAAAACATGAATATTTGATGAATTAGATAAAAATGTATAAACAGGATTCATAGACCAAACTAGAGGATTACTCGTTTGGGAATGTCTGATCCAATGTTGATCAATCACTATATTGTTGTTGTCTTAACCGACTATGGTTAAGTGTCCGAATCTTTTGCCTTAAACTAGTGATAGTTTAAGTGTCTGATTGCCTTAACTGACTACAGTTAAGTGGCCGAAATCAATTGCCTTAAACTAATGATAGTTTAAGTGTCTGATTAATAATTGCCTTAAAAGAATCTGGTTATGGAAATTATGATTTGACCTTAGACTAAGAATAGCTAAGAGCGTTTTTATGATCTGGCCTTAGACTAAGAATAGCTAAGAGCGTTGTTATGATCTGGCCTTATATTAAGAATAATTTAAGAGCACTATTGAAATAGTATCTGAATTGAATAAAATGTGTGGATA